ATTATCACTCGCGTTCCTATTTCTCTTATAATAGCCAAATGATGTTAGAGAAATACTTCAGTAACTTTTGTAGATTAACTTTTATTGAGAGATCAGCAACAGTTGAGAACAGAAGAACAAGTAACGAAATGAGTACAGAGAATGGTCAAAGACCCTTTTTATATTATAAGATTACACTTACGAATTTTCCAGAAATCAGTAGTCTCGGGTAAAAATGCAAACATCACATCCTGTCTCACTAGTATGGGACGGTGTTATACTCGTAGGGATTTAGATGGTGTTAATGCTTTAAGGATACCATAACTTACAAGGGAAACAAAGTACGAAAATAGTACCCGATTAACCTTTTTTTTTGTTTAGATAAGAGAAAGCTTTTATAGCCGGTCGCATGCAGAAACGCTGGATGGAGTTTTCTCACCCGCTTTTCCTGCCCAAAGTGTGAGAATGAGAGTTTTAATAACGTAGTACTGCTGTTTATTGCTTTTTACAGGGACTATGGCAGTTTGCTGGAATGTAAGTGCATTTATGGTTTTCTTCTTGGTGTACACAGACGAATCGAGCGACAAAATGGTTGACAAATGTGGGGGACGACTCTTCATACTGCCTAGACAGGGTGACCCATTTAGATAGTTGGGGTTCAGTAGAAAGGTTAGTCAAAATAAGAAAATGGTTGCAAACTTTGGAAGTAGAGAGAATCGGAGTATACAAAACACTTCAGGCATGCTTCAGGAAAAACGTTTGCGTCAGAGAACTTCAAATAAGTGGTCGGGCGTAGAGGTAAATTTGTTTTATTTTGTATAGGACTTCTATGTTACAGGTTTTCTCATAAAATTTTTTGAAGTATTATTGGGCTTGGTTATATTGCCTTCAATTAGCAAAACTGTGATAAACTTCAACGATAGCATTGTGCAAAGGTCCATCATGAAAAGGGAAAAGTGAAGGAAGGAATTCCCCTGGGTCCATAGCCGAGCTGCTAATCAGGGATCCAGAATTTAAGAAAACTCTGCTGGGTATTAATATGGTGTTCTTGTAAGTACACACAAGTATCATGATATGATACACTCCAACCGCTGTATTAAAAACGATAATAATTACTGTTCACAAGCAATGTGAGAAGAAATGTTTCGTGTTTAATCATTTCAGGAGAGATGCCTCGCAAAACACGTGGTTGGCGTAAAATCGTCCAGTGTTTCTGAGGAATGAGATATGTGAAAAGTTCAGGTTTCATAAGTGTATCCGTAGATGCTAAGTAACCAGATAAGGAGGTAGTGGTGGTAGTAGTAGTTCTGGTAATAGTTAGTGATAGTAGCGCTAGTAGTAGATCATTACAGGTATGCTTTTTAATTATATTTGGTATTCACTATTTCTATTTTACTATCGACAGCTGGATAAAACACCTTTATTTATTGAGAAAATATATTTACCAGCAAAATGGGTTACCACAATTCTTATTTTTACGTACCTATTTCATCTTCAGGTCTGTTGTCTATGATTATTTATGCTTTAAAATCGTAGCGCAAGTGTTTTTCTTAGTTTGTTTCAGCTTTTAGGTGAGAATGAGAACATTTCAGGAATGGTGATGAGCAATGATAAATGTTGATAATGATATATTATAATTTTAATTTCAGCTTATATTTGGTATTTACTATTTCTATTAGGTACATATTTTACGAACATATCTATTACTAAGTAGCTAACATGTGATTGCATATTTCTTATTTTTAAGTATTTTACAGAACTGCTCTTCAAAAACTTTCAGGTTTTCTTTCAGAATCATAGCTCAAATATTTCTATCAAGCTTTGGAGGGGTGACCCCCAGGAATGGCATACGATATAGACACTCTCGAGCGTGATGAACGTGAGATAATGAATATTGATGATAATGATTTGTATAGGCAACTGCTGTTCCAAAAAATGTTCTGCCTGGATAGCTGGATGAATATTTTACTGGGCATACACGAGTCGGGTGAAGATAGAAATTTAATAGGAACAATAGAAACATGTTAAGAATGGTTAAAGGCCCGATTTATAGTATGCTGCAATACATGAAAACACCAATCAAACTAACATCAAAATTTTTAAAGGGTAAGCATTGTAGAGTATGGCATCAAGAAGGTTGGCTTTGAGCTTCACGAACCTCTGAAGTATAGATAGAAATGTTAAGGATCTTGGAAACGTTCCCAATAGATGTATTTTCTAGACTTACCCTAAGAAGACCAAAAGCGTTCTACTCTAACTATACTTAAATAAATAAAGACAGAGTCAACCTACTTGATGTTACTTATGTGAATTCTCTTTGTAGATAAATCTGTGGATGGTCTACTGTCAATATATTGACGAATTTTTACGAAATACATCCAGGTTCCAAGCAAAAACTTCTAAAAATGTTCACGATTTTCATACAACCTTTGAAGAAATTAAGGGAAATATTTTTGAAACTAGAACAATGAGGCCAAAAGTTATATGAAGATCAATTGAAGTCATAATCAAAATAATGAACAGGTATTTTTTACATAATCTTGAACTTATTATTCTTAATGATTCACTGACATCTTACCCGATAAGTCAATCTTATCAGGAAATATAACTTCTGAAATCTATTGCAAAAAGCAGCGGCGCCATAGAAGAAAGCTTTTACCAGATTTTATCAGAAAGATGCCAGTGAACTACGAGGGGCGTTTTTAAAGTAGGAACCAGTTGCGATACTCTTAGCCAGCCTCTCACTACGCCGCTATAAAACTCATGATCCATTAGTTTAATAATAATAATATTTATTACCCTCATTAAACAGTATATACAAAGTTTACAAACTAAAAAAAAGCCTTAAGAAGATAAAGGGCGGTTTGGTTGGAGAATATCAATTAGATCTTTCCCTCACGGATATTCAAACCAATTGGGGCACAGAAGAACTAGAAAGACAGTAATTGTAGAATATAGGGTGATTCCTTTATCATCCTTTTGTAATAAATTGTCATCGTCTTTGTGAAAACTTTCTCCCATTTTATCTTGTCCTGTATCCCATACATGTTCGATGAGCGCTGATTTTGAGGTCGCAACATTTTAGTCGAAGATTATATAACAATCAACCAGTGGTTACGATAGTTCTGGGAGGGTTTTAGCGTCATTTTGCAGGGCTTTTGGCGTCTTCGGGACTATGGCCGAGTCGAAGACGATCTGCAAGAATATGTTTTGTAAAAAAATATTACTTTGCATTGTGTATTTTCTATTTTTTTCACAGGAAAAAAAGTAGATACGCGAATGATATTTACAAGACTATTTCATGACTAACAGATTATTCTCCATACATATAGCTTACAAAATTTATTGATAATAAAATCGGAAAGATTTAGCGTCATTTTGTGGTGTCTTAAGACATCCATAAATTAATTTTCTCTGACTCGAATACAAAACAGTTCTTACTTGAAAAATGACCCCCGCAGAAACCAGTGCCCCTTTTTTTTATTTTAGGTTAATAACTGTGGTATGCTGGTGGATTATAGATTTTCGATTGTACAAATGAACCCAGAATTGTGGAACGACTTGATTTTTCTTCAAGTGATACAATTATTAATCTGAGCAGTGACGGTTGAGGTTTTCTAGGGGTTTCCCTCGCCCAAGTGCGAATGCAGTCACCAAAAAACATATTCCCCTAATAACTAGTGGAGAAAATGAAAATAATAGTTCTCGTATTAATGATCATGTAATTTTAGATGACATAGATATTAAATATATTTATACAGTAAAACTTTGTTTTTTTTTTCATAAAAGAAATAGGCAAAACAATATTTTATCCTATTAAAGCCTTGTTCGTACAAGTGTCGTCACCTGTCAGTGACCGTGATCAGGATCCCGCCACACAAATTCTGATTATTCTGCTACGCTATATAGACTAAATCCACATGGCCGGATCCCAGACACGGTCCCCGACAGGCCACCTACTTACCACCAGCGTTGTCAACCCCATCCGAAAGAATAACTGTATATTAACTTGAAAAAAACTGTAGAAGATTATTTAAAAAACTGTAAATATACAGCTTTCCCTTTACAGTATTTTTCACGATTATCAATCGCGGACCAAAGTCAAAAAGTAACAGTTTTGCATTGCTTAGGCAAATTCTTCTTGACGGGTTGTGGTTCTGGTTGGCCTTGACTGACATAAAAATGACAGAATTTCCATTCAAACTTTTTCAAATTCACTGAAGGCCAACCAGAACCACAACCGCTCAAAAAGAATTTTACTTTTTGCATGCGTGGTTATTTTTTGACATTGTTCCGCGATAGGTGCTCGTGAAAATAGTATATTGCTAAATTCCATTTCACAACACTCAAAAATGGAAAAAAATGGAGCTCTCTAGGAAATAATGTTACATAGAAGACCCCCTCTTAAAATGGGGTCCTGTGTATGATGTTTCATTTTTGGTCAGGACTTGTCACCCTGTATAAGTATGATGGTGAAAAATTCTAGTGTCATCGGATCCGATTTGGGTTTAAAACGTGGTAGTGGATCCTAGAACTGATTTGACATCGAATTCAGAATATAAGCACCCGATTCACCTATAGAAAACAAGATCCCAGAGCTGGAGATTTTTTATATGTCGTTTTTAGCGACACAACAAAACGTATTATAAGAATGGTTGAGCTCACGCCGGATAGACCCAATTTTTGCAGTATTTCTGATTGTAACAAAAGACGTCGATGATATTATTAACGTACGTATATTCACTAAATCAAACCAGTTAGTCAAATAATGACAGTGAGGCACATTGTTGCCACAATGTCACATTAATTGAAACTACTAGATCCTAGGACTTTTTTTTGTAAACGCTAGAGCTAGTGGCAGACCGCCCAACATTACAGTACCGTGCGTATTAGTGACTAGCAGACATTAGCTTACTTTTGGAAAATAATATAAAAAATAGGCTACAGGGAAAGGAATAAAACGAATTTTAAAATATATACTTGCAAGTTTTACTACCCAGTCAAACCATATTTTACCTTTATTATAATTTTATAAAACATTCTAAAACACGGATATTTGAGACAAGAATCCAGTAGAATTATCATCAACCCATATTATTAGCACATAAATCCTAACTATGCATTGCCGTTATCTCTAGTAATGCCATATCTGAAGCAGATTTTACATCACATCAGAGCCAAACATTAATAACAAGCCTCATGACGTTTAGGCAACACTTACAACTACAAAACGAGTTCACAACGTGTCCACCAGCTAGTGCTAAGTTAACATCGTGTTGAAAAACCTACATGTCAGGAAAAACCAATATGTCAAAAACAAATCGACATAATGTCACTTCTCAAGATACGTAATGCCCGTGCCCATTCATCATTGGTAACGACTAATTGACTTAATATAAAGATGCCACTTACTGATCAGCTGTTCATCGCAGTAGACGTCAAAACGGAATGGATACTCCTGAAATATGTTTGCAACCGTCTATAGCAGTCTCTGCCACACCTTTCTTAATGACAAGATAACTAAGTAGATCTTGAGTAACGTTAATGGCACTTCTCGTCACCATTAACAGTAATTTTGTACAGGAGATTTTTTAGATCCCTTGAATGTGATATGTGTTGTAACGTTGATGATACATGTCTGGAAAAGAAACCTTTATAAGCTCCCCATACCTGTCTCGCCAATAAAATCACATGTATCTACAGAAATCCTCTTTAATTGTAAATGCTTCAATCACAAATTTGATCTGTACAATGGCAATATATTTTGTGTCTCCCACGTGACTGTTGGTTCTCCTTTTCATCATCACCTTCTAATAGTGTGTTTCTACAGTAGTCTGAAAGTACCGAAACACGGTACACAGGTCTATTTCCCTGATCTTTTGTAATTCCTGCAGATGAGAGCCTTCATAAAGTGCATCTTGGCTATGACGTGGCTCAAACATCCTCAGTACAGTCTGGGACTGATATTCCATCAGATTAATATGCTTCAGTTACAAGGCACCGAAAAAAGACTGGTGAAGGTAAAACTTCACTTATCTTTTTTTGTGCCCTTTTTATGTTGTACCATATGTCTGTCTAAAAGAGTTCTTGTAGTGGCTTTGAAACTGCATTTATCGCATTCATAGATTTTGCAAGTAACCGTAGAAATGTAACTAGGGTGTTTATTAATTATATGGTTGTCCAGTGACACTTTATAATTATATGCAGCAGTGCAGTAGTTACATTTTCTGGGCTTTACTCTCAGCCCAGAATGCTTTAAAAGATGTCTCTTATAGTTGCTTATTACAGTAGTTCTAAAAATGCACTTAGGACACTCATGTAGTCTGCTGGTAACAATATCGATAAAATTTGGATGTTGCCTTATTATGTGGTCATCTAGTGACATTTTAGCTCTGAATTCAGCTTTGCAGTATTCACATGCGATGGTTGTAGGACTCACAGTCGTTTCTGAATGACTAATCATATGTCTGTCGAAGTTACAACTGAAGACAGTTTTGTAACTGCACATCGTGCATTCAAGAATTTTCCTTCGGACAGATGCGGTGAAGTTGGGGTGCTTTCTGATTATATGGTTGTCAAGATGGGCACTTCGTTTGAGAGTTGCGTCACAGTAGGGGCATTTGAAGGAGCTTCTACATTGAGATGTTTCTATATTGTTCGTAGCTTCATCTTTCATCTGTGTATTATGGCCACTGAAAAAGAAAAAAAATCGTCACGTTCGATCTCACCAGTAAGCTATATAAGCACTCATTTTTATATGACTTAGGCATTAAAGGCAGTGTCATTGGCAACACAGACTGTAAATAGCACACCACTGGCCAGTCACCACTAAAACACGGTTGTAAATTCACATACTACAGGATTCTTGAGTTTGGTGTATTATGTAATTTAAAGGTTTGTTCGGACAGTGGTCGGTAGCTTGTCAGTGACTGTATCTGCTATCAGGCCATGCAAATTCTAACTATATAGCGTAGCAGAGTGAACGGAATTCCCGTGGCGGTTACTGACAGGTTGGCAATTGCTGTACAAACAGGACTTAAATAGCATCCTATTTTATTATGTTGACGCGTTGAGGCGTAACGTGACATCTTTACTAATTCTTAGAAGCAAATTGTTCTAGCCTGTGAAAAACGCAAATGTATGTATACATAAGAGCTTGCGCACATCTGGGACGGTAGATCAGAGTATCGAAAAGAATACCACCCCGCATGCGTGCACACAGAAGGGGAAAATTGCCCAGGGCCACGTACCACCAACGTACGTCGAAAGTCGATATCACATGACATCTCGCCAATTCACGATATCAGCAACTAACTGTTTATATCCTAGATGTGGCGGACCAGGCAATTTTTCCGTCTCTCTCTCTCTCTGTCTCTTTTTTTCAGCACTGGGGACCATGTTGTGGGATACCGCAGCGGGAGACACCAGCACACCGCGATATTCGCCCGCTGTCAGGCTACAGATGCCTGGTAGATTGGTAGAATTGTAGCGCATGCACGCGATTTTGCGACAGATTTTTATCATCAGTGTCTGCTGCTGTAGTAAATATCATTTCGGATCCTTTGCCGTAATTTCTCGTGAGCACTAGTTCTGAGCTACTTTGTTACATTTGGTATCAGGTGTGGAAAAATCTTTGGAAAGTCATACCATTATAGTACTTTATGGAATGAATCATGCGGCATACACTATCTTGGACAAACTAAGTGAAATTATTCCAAAATGTGTATTTCATTAGTGAATGCTTGCAGTGTTGTATTGATATGCAAGTTATTTTTGATGTATCCTTAGACTTCCTTATTACCCACTTGAGGCTCCTCAGTATCTAGCGCGACCTTGAGCAATCCAGGGAGATGTGCATTTTCGAATCAGATTCTGAGAGTGTTCTGTTCCCTTCTTCTGCTAATTTCAGTAACCAAAAGAGGGCAAACATAAAGGTCCAAACATTGCAAATAGGTGACACGCAAGGCATCACGGAATTGTGAATGATTTTTCAGGCAGGCGTTGAAGCAGATTAAACCGAAGATTCTTACAAAATGTATAATTTATCATCAACAGAACAGAAACAAACAAATATTGCACTGATTTAATAAATCAAGGTGTTAATTGAATTCGCGTCAATTGTCCATAACATTAAGGATATATTCCCAGTGCTGACATCACTGGTGACACACTCAAGAGGGGAAGTAGCACAGGTGCCACCAGTTGTCTTTAGTGCAGGATGGAGAAGGGCAATACACTAGACAGATTACATCAACTTGAGTGCTTTGTTAGAAGAAATCAAATGTTTATGTCTTTTAATATAATATCAGGTTATGTAGTAAGGAGACAAAAAAAAGCAGATTTCAAAGAAATGGATAGTCTAGAGAATCATTCTATTGCAAATGCATGTTTTGCATAGGAATAAACAGGGGCAGTGGGGATCCTTATTAAACATATTGTTTTCAGAATTTGACTACATTCTGATGAAATTTACCTTATATCCCTATCAGCAGCCTCATCTTTGATAGACAATTCAGTATGTAGCATACCTGCATCTTTGATTTTTTTAATTTCGAAACTGTCTAGTGAAAATATTTCACTTTCCATCCTAAAACATGAAAATCAGTATTTTAAAAAATCATTGCATCCAAATTGAGATTTTGCCTTAAAATTGAGTAGGTACTCATCTGTCAAAGTAATGGCATACTGGAATAGATACTATCATGGTCAGATACAGCTCTTAAATTAAGGGGGTGCCATGTTGACCCCCTGAATCTGCCGATGCATATTATTAAAAATAATGAGACAAATTAATAATCACCTATCCAATTCGAACTCAAATGCATCAAAGTCTCTAGCAATTTCTTCTTTTATATTAATTTTTGTGTGTATTTCATCGTATTTTATATTTAATTCTTCCCTCAACCCATTTGCACATTTTGTTTCATCAACCCATATGTCTGATTCAGTCTTCTCAGTTTTAAATATTTTTGCAGGTAAAGGGACATCTCTCTCATTTGATTCTTCACAATAGCTGGGTTCATGTTTTATTCTGTAAAAATACATCAGTTGTATTTTTATAAACCAAGACTGGGTAATATTGGAATTACTTATTCTGCAATATGATATCAGCGCTTTTATCACGTTCATTTTTGATATAAACTGTGGATGTATCAGTTCCAGCTTCGATATCTATTTCTTTAGAAAAGTGTGTAGCAATATAAGAGATATTATCCCTAGCTCCTATGTGCTGAATAGGTGGTGGTGAACCTTCTTCTTGATCACTTGTGACTTCTAGTTTAATGTCCATGGCCTTAGGATGTTGCTAACTTGTACAAGACTATCAAGATTTTGATTTGGAATATAGGAACTGATTTTGAGGTAGAAGGGAGTTGGACATTTTCCCAAAGGTTCTGCAAGGCAGCAGAGACTAGGAAAAGGCCAAACTATTCTATCATTAACTCCAAAACTGGAACTTTATAGTACACAAAAAAGGTCAACCACCTAATTAGCATTCAAGCAACAAATAACAACAAACCATCACAACTGTCACTGTCATAATGACAGCAAAGCGTTTGCCGCATTGCCAAGCTTATCATTGATTCTCCATCTTCAAATAAATGAAGCTTCATTGGCCAGACAAACAGAGGATGAGGATATAGTTTATATAACATCTTTATAATTTTTATGAAGTGTTATGTGTAAATGTTTTTTTAATCGTTTCATGTGTAGGTGATAACAAAATTATATTGTATTGGTAAACAGTTTTATTGAGTTTGTTTTACAATTATCATCATTATTCTCTTCCCAATACTGAATTTTTCTTTTATAACAGTATTAAACATTTTCAAGCGTAGCCAAATCCATTTTAAATCATTTTTGGTCAATTTTAATAACCTTGAGTTGAAATTATCGAAAATATGGTCGAGTTTATCGCATTTAATAAGACATTATTTAAATGACTGTTGCTGATACCTCGTCACGTACTTGTTTGTGCTATGAAAAACTGGAGAAGCGCTAATCCGAAACGTCTCTGCTTTTCTTATTGTTGATGATTGAACAGCCCAACACTACACCGTAGTTAAATTATTTTCACATAGATACTTATTTGAGGCACATCAGATAACAAACTAATTACAAATTACGCTCTAAAGCGCCATATAAGTACGTCTGTCACCGAGTAACGTCGCTCGTCCGAAAGAGATTGATCGCATGCGTGTGGGATTATCTTTTCTAGTACTATCATTATGGATTTAGCTATATACAGGGCTTGTCCGGAAAGTAATAGAACTGAATCGATTTAAAAAAATTTATTGTGCCATTCGTTACAATTCTTTAAAAACTTTCAAAATAGGCTCCTTCTGTGTCGATGCAGCGCTGCCATCGCGATTTCCAAGCATTGAATGCGTCACGGAAGGCATTCTCCGGAATAGTCTTGAGAACCGCGGTGCATGCTGCTTGGATCCCCTCTGTCGTCTCAAAATGCTTGCCTTTCATCGGCCTTTTCAGGCGAGGAAACAAAAAAAAGTCCGGGGGGCCACATCTGGGCTGTAGGGCGGCTGTGGAAGCGTTGGGATGCCGGCCTTCGTCAGGGGCGTTGTCGCGGTGCAACTTCCAGTCGGCTGCGATGTCTTGTCGAACCCGACTGACCCTTCGTTTGAGTCGCCTGAACATTTCCACGTAAAACTTGGCGATGACGGTTTGTCCTGGAGGAACAAATTCATGGTGGACGATGCCTTTGATGTCAAAAAAGACAATGAGCATCGTTTTCACTTTGGATGTGCTCATTCTTTCCTTTTTTGGGCGAGGAGACGCCGTCGTGTGCCACTCAGAAGATTGCCTCTTTATCTCGGGATCATACTCAAAGATCCACGACTCGTCACCTGTGATTACGTCACTTTCACACATGTTCAAATTTTCTTGGCACACTTCCACTCGCCGCAACTTCTGGTCGTCAGTGAGCACTTTTGGGACCATCTTCGCGCACACCTTGCGCATGTTCAAATGCTGTGTCACAATGTCACGAACCACAGATTTTGGTAAATTTAACATCTGGGTAATTAAACGAATACTTGGTCGACGGTCTGAGTTCAAAACTTTGCGCACACGAGTCACATTATCGGTGTTTGTCGAAGTCGAAGGTCTTCCAGCACGGCCTTCGTCAGCGACCTCTTCCCGGCCCTCCAAAAAGGCCTAGTGCTACCGAAACACAACACTTCTTGCTGAAGCAACACCCGGGTAAGCCTGCTTGATTATATCAAACGTCTCTGTCACAGATTTACCGAGTTTCACACAGAACTAAATAGCGTACCTCGGCTCTAACGAACGCTGAATTTCCGGCTTGCACCACTCACAGGAACACGTCGCGCGAAAATGCTTGTCCTGACTCTCCAGGTGCTCGGAGACAACTGACCAGCCGCTCATTCGATAACTAGGAACGCCCTCTACCGAATCCAGTCGGTGCGCGCACGCTCCGAAGTACAGTCATGGCGGAAGAAAATGAGACCTGATTACTTTCCGGACAAACCCTGTATGTACTTGAATAAAAATGTACCGTGCCGAAATCAAAACAGTAGATCTATAGGAAATTCGACCATCTGGCAACGGCGCTTGTTTACTTGACACCCAACTGCCTGTCTTCTCTAGCGTTTTGTCATCCGTGTTTGTCACCTTTTGTTTTTATTTATATATATTTGCTTGTACAGGAAATACTTCTCAAATTTTCTTCCAATTTCCAATAAAACCTGCCACCTTTTTCATCAGCATTAGCCGCTGGTATCTACACTTGTTCGAATCCAGGTCGTAGTGAAATGAGTGTATCAGTTTTACAATGATGGCCTGTTACCTCCAACTTCTTACCATGCCTTCCTTCAATTTCATTTTCTAATTATGGTAAGTCATGCGCTAAGTTTATATAAAAGCAAGAGTAATTTCGATTAATTCCTACTCAAGCGTGACACGGAACTTTTTAGTTTCTAAGCACACTGCCAACACATATTGTAGTAGAACATTACATCTGTTATCAGTTTTGTATTGTCAGAGCACCATAGCATCTATACCCACTAGATTAAAGGTTGTTGTGTATTTTGAACAAACAGTGCACACCTAAATATGGACTTCCTATCAACACGCATGATGTCTCTTTGCCATTTTTGGTAAGCAGCATTGAATGAGGAAATGCAGTTTTTCTATAGGTGATCATTATGCATTACCAGTGCATACTATTGATGTTATTTCCTTGACTCTGTAGTATTCAGTTGTTTTAAATGACTGTGTAAGTAAAAGTGCTGCTCATTTTTTCCTTCATTGAGTGATATAGTAATTTGTTTCAAGTATCATTGCTACCATATCCACATAATGATGAAAATATGTAAAGTACAAATTAATTTTATTTATCTCTTATGTTTGTTGGCATGAGTTGAGGTTGCATTTTGAAAGTTTTTACAAATGTGATTACTACTAAAATTTCTATTTAAATTGAAGAATGACTGGGTTCATTCCACATATCCTTAGAATACAAGAAATGATATGCATGATAGCTCCTATTCCTTGACAAAGTATCTTTCAGATTTGCAAAAGCAGCCTTCAATTTGTTAAATGAAATTTGTTTCAAGGATACAAGATACCTCCTTATTTTTCCAAATTTGGCACATTTTGAGCACAATATGTCCATACAATTTTGTCCAAAACATTACTTGGCAAATCATTCTCCTGAACACCACATTAAAAATGAACTAGCATAATCTGCATTACTCCTAATTTGGTCTGATATCCATTGACAAAATATGGTACAGGTATTTTACAAAGTGTATTTCTTGCAGTATATGTGCTATAAAATATATATTAATACAATACATCAAAAAGCCTTAAAGTAACATCTGTAACTTATTCTGTGGTTTTCATGTTGAGAGTCCTCTATGTTTCTCTGGCTGAATCAAACCACATATGCTTAAAAACAAAAACAAACAAATTGTATTAATTAAAAAATTTGAGATTATTACTTATGATTCAAATGTAACTGAATACTTAGCATCATATTTGAACCCTAGATAGATACATGCTAATATTCTTTTATTTGATGCAGTGAACATTTCAAGTTCTCAACAACTATACAGGGTGTCCGCAAAGTTGGGGTTTTCCTTTACACGACGTGTAGATCTTGAAAACATAAGCAATTTTTCTTAGTACCATATACACCAATGTCTTAAGGGAACCGAGATAAAGGGCTCTGCAACATCAAAAATATCTGAATACCGTCCTGTAGCCGCGACCCGCGATATCTCAGACTGGTACCGGCTACTAGCTGAACCCGACGACAGAACTGGGTCGGGGGTCGGGGTCACTGTGTCAGGTCAGTCTGCAACCTTCAACCGACGGTAAAGAGTCACGCGTATAGAGGCAACGAACCCGTATAATCGATTGCGTTTCAAAAAAAAAAAAAATAATGGCACACAAATACACCAATGAACTCGTTGATATGTTGTTAATTTATGGCGAATTTCTTCAAAATGATACAGAATCGTCGCGAGTGTATGCAGATCGTTTCCCTAGACGACATCATCCAAGGCCCCGCAGATTTGTGTATCAGAGAGTCAGGGATACGGGCCATTTGGAGGAATTTCGAGGTGGGCACAGTGGGAGGCCTAGACAACCACGAATGGTGCAAGTTGAGGAAGAACTACTGAATCGCGTAGACGAAAATCCCTCAACAAGCACTAGAGACGTGGCTAGAGAAGTGCAAGTATCAAAAACTAAAGTGTGGCAAACGTCCAACGTGTACAAGCCCTTCAACCTGACGATTTTCCAGCAAGAGTGCGGTTTTGTGAGTGGTTGTTGCATCAACATGACAATAATCCGGACTTTTTGAAGTGCATATTGGTGACAGACGAATCTACGTTCACGCGTAATGGGGTGAATAACTTTCGATTTCATCCAGAGACGTACTTAGCCCTTCTCGTCAACTGGAGAGTGACTACTTTTTCCTTTATTTTTTTTTTACTTGGTCGCCCTCGTTTCACTACACATTACCTTTGTTATTTCAAGGGTAGTTGTTTCTGAAAAGGAAAACCCCAACTTTGCGGACACCCTGTATAGTTAAATTGTTGTATCTCCATAGCATTTTCCTACTGTTCTATACTTAGTGTTATTTGGTCAACTATGTCAGAACTGATGTGTCCACTTTTTGCTAAAAGTTCTTAAATAAATCCTTCCTAAATATCTCTCATCCATTAACAAAATTCCAAAACATTCTAGGGGATATTGTTATTGTAACTCTTTGTTTTTTAATTGCATATAATTGACTTATCATCAATGATGTTTATTAAATGACGGATGAACTTACACCTTAAAGTATGCGCCTCCTACTTTAAGATGTAAGTTAGTTTACCCTTTAATAACTACCATTGACATGATAAGTCGATGAAAAACAATTGAAAAACAAGGTTAACAATAGCAATACCCCATAAACTGCTTTAGGAATTTGTTAATTAGTATTGTTAATATCTCTGTAGTTAATCTGCAAAAATGAGGAAAGGCCTCACAGTTTCGTTTTCAGTCATGTTTTCTACAGATTTCAGATATACATTTTAGACAGTTTATTTGCTTACAGCTGATTTGTCAACGAGCCATTGTAAAACAACAGCAGTCAGATGTTCGATGATCAAGAAGACACGCTCGACGACACTGTCGTACTTAGAACCAAAAAAAATGCCCCGGTAAGTCTATATGTTTTGATGTTGCTACTCTTCCAATAATAAATTTCTGATAATCCAGAATGGTCATTTACAGTGGCCTAGATAGTTTGGTTCAAAATCACTTATCATTTAATTAATTTTTTTGGATTACTGTATTTGATAATCTCTAATGATCAGAAATTCCTTGATAGAAATAACAGAATATATTGTTTTGCTCATATATCCTTTTCATAACACACTACACACCCATACATGAAAAAATGAGGTTACTGTAGAACAGTATAGGCTAGATGTGTGGGGGCTTTCCTGTCATTTTCACTGTTTGGGCTGCAGATGCACCAAGCTTTGGCAAACCATTTGTAGATGGCGCTTGTCAACTCTCTGCACACGAATGTGGTTACTTGTTTCCAAAACGGCAGGGGGTCGCATGCCCCCCTGATGGACGCCCACGTCTAGATAGCCCAAAATTTTGCAAAAAATTAGGAAGAAGTTGAAAAACTTATGTTTTTGAATCGAACCTCGCCAACTTTTAGGGTCGTTTGGTCAGTAGCTCCTACAATAATTGTAGGACATGCTATGCAAGCATCTATGCTCTAACAGGGTCTAACATAACCTCAATAGAGCGCTGACATGGAACAGTAGAAATATAGAATGTCAGGAAAAATCTACGAAAATCAAGGAGGCCATAAATTCGTCCTACAATATTCTAGGAACGACTTTTGATACGTCTCTGACAGTATTTACGAGGAAAATAAGTGACAGGGCATTTGACATTTCTTCTTCTTTTTTCCAATGTATTCTTTTGCTGCTGTTTTACCGCACATTGTATGTCACTGGAACTTGTTTTACATTATAATTTTCTGACAAGATATAATTTTCATTGAGGAGTATCGGCAGATATTTTTCTAGATAAAGATGACATAAATGACTGACAAATAATTATGTATTATTTACTGAAATCTAATGTGCATCGTTCCACTGAAAGTATGTGCAAAGTCGTCCTTTTTCTCTTAGGTGCGGCGTTCTTTGAGTGAATGTGACCACATGCCGCATCGAAGTATCGCAGATCTCCGCGCGGAACTCCGTCAGCGCGGAGAGACGGAATGGAGAAAGAAAGTCAAATCTGACGTAGCCGAGGAGTTTAGATCCATCAAGAAAAATGTTATTAATGTGAGTTCCAACATTGTTCATTTTATTGATTATATACATGAGGATAGAGCTAAAAGCTCTCGACTTGACATTGAAAGATTGCGTTTTTCATTTAAAAATGATTTCATTATTCTACATAATCGCACTGAACGTCCACTGAATTGGTCCGTTTCTCAAATATTACGATCTTTTCTCGGAAGTGGAAGGCTGTCGAAATATTCATCTACGTTCCTCTTAACTTCGTCGTCGGCCCCAAAGCGCTTTCTAGAAAGAAATTTATACAAAACTGTAGTTTTACCATTGTTAACCTACCTTCGTAGCAAGGTACATTGTTCAGTTGAAAAAATTTAAACCAGGTATCGTTTACAGTAATTTTGGAATGGTTGGAATTATAAATTACCCCGCCAAAAAATCAGTATGATATATTTCTCCCTTTCCTGAAAAAAAGCGCTCAGGGGACCAAAGTAAGCCTAAAGTTAGTTTCTGAGAAATAGGGGGCTGAAGTTGTATGCTAAATTTTCTCATTTTCCACATGCTGATCGGAGTGCCATCTCTTTGTCAGATCGAGAACCTTTCACATTGTCCTCGTAAAAAGCCTTTTTGGGCCGAACCTTGATTTGAATGTGAGCCACTATTAGGTGATGTAGCTTTACTGATACGAACTGTTCAGATTAGGATTTAAAAGCCAAGATGCATCGTATACAATTTTAAGTTTCTAACTGATACATTCGTATACTCTGGCTGTAAAAATGAAATATACTTGTATGGATTATAAATAGATAAAATTAACGCTATCATTCATTACTTAGGATGATTTGTCAGAGGATTCGATATTGGCGACCAGATTAAATGAATTAGACGCTTCATCAAAACAATGGCAAAATCGCGTAGAAAAATCTGACGCAGAAAAATTCTCGATAAGCGGTAAAATGGCGGAAAAAATGAAGGATGCGACGCCTACTATAAACATTCCTGATGATAATAAGAAGACTCCACAGGCGAAACGAATTAGGTTGAGAGGTGAACACCTATTTTTATTTATACAGGGTGTTGTTGAAAAGTATTAAAGATTTTTAGTGTAACTCTGATTAAATGTGTTTTATATCAGTAAAAAACAGTTATATTCAAAATATTTAGAAATCAAAATAATCAAAAGTGTATCTAATAATCTTCCAAATGATTTTAAAGGATGACCGGAGTTTGGAATTTTCTGTAGGTACTGTTACAAAATGGACATCAAGACGAGTGTCGGTACCAAAATTAGACGATGCTGCTTTCAAGTCGTTTTTCGAAACCGTGAAGCATTCAGAAAGTGTGGAAAAAGTAAATTTACGCCTTGAAGATTTCGATGCTGTAGAGAGACAGTCACTTCTAGTCATTAGGAAAAATGTACAAGTGCAGAAGAGAAGAGGTAATGAGCGTCATGTTTATCAAGTATGTTAAAAAAAGTAACTGTGGTCTAGTTATATATATACTTTGAAGTTGAGTTATTAATTTTCAGATAATGATTGTAGAAGGAAGATAAACGAAAATATGTGTGTAAAAATAAAAAAAAATTAAAAAAAAAATGTTACCTTGTTTTATAAAGTATCCTCCCGACAAGTATTTCAGTGCGGCCCTGTATTTGATCGTGCGGTCTTGGAGCACCGGCATGTCCTCCCCTGTGAGGTCTTAAGTCACCTGATTCACGAGCCCTTGTACTACATTAACAAAGGCACGAGGGGTTGGTTGCACTCGATTGGGAAACCGATTCGCACAAATCTGTGATGCCGCGGCAGCATTTTGTAAAGACTCCCCCCCCGTAAATAAGAATCATGTCCACAAGTTCAGCATTTTCGTAAACATGTGCCATTTTTCATTTCGTTTGAGTCACGCAACAAACACCACTATTCACTCACGCATTACGGACTGAAGAAAAACATCGTGATAAACGTTTCAAATTCTTTCGCTTTTTTGTTTCCGATGCGATGAACAGATAAGGCGGATTATATCCGTTGTTGCCAAACACGAGCACATAATATTATTATTGAGACAGGGCGGTACTCAAACTTCTAAAGGGCTATAACTTTGTTAATTTAATTTTACCAGAAAAATGTTAAAGGAAAAAAACATTTCTTTTGATCAGATCTACTCACTGTTAAAATAAATGACTCAAGTCGCCCTGTATATATATATATATATATATATATATATATATATATATAGTCCCTTCCCACTTTAGTTGGCCCACTTCAAGATTTGTACCAAAATGTGCCTTTATAAACTGAACATGACGAAACTATTTACTTCTAAAACAATTTATTTTCTCAAAAACATTTTAGATACATTCTAGTCGTAAAAAATACCTATTTGAAATTTTTGTCGTATAACCTTTTTCATCTCGTGCCACAAAGTTTCAATAGGTGACAGATCTGGACTGCTATAAACCCATTTCAAAAGTGGTAGATTATTTTCTTCCATCCATTTTATAGCCTTTTTGCGGTATGGCACGCTGCACCATCTTGCTGAAACACAAAATCTTGGCCGGATGTCAAACATTCTTCCATCACTGGTAAAAGCGACTCTTCTAAAATTGCCAAATATTTGTTTGTATCCACATTTCCCTTAATAACATGAAGTTTTCCTACTCCTTTTGATGACATACTGCCCCAGACCATAATGGATGCTGGAAATTTCACTTTTCTCTTCAGACAGTCAACATGGAATGCTTCATTTTTTGCGAATAACTCTACTGCGACTGTCACCAACACACACTTCGAATCGGGCCTCATCACTCCATTGTATTGCACACCATTGTTGAGGTGTCCATTGTCTATGTTCTTTAGCCCATCTAAGCCGATTTTTCTTTTGCAGTAGAGTTAATAGTGGCTTTTCTTTGGCCTATAAACAAGTTGTGCAACTTTAGGGTTTTTTGTTCACTTTTTTAAAAGAAAACTTACCTTGCAAGTGCTAAATTCCAGTTTGTGGGCCTCTCTATGAGTTGTGGACCTCGAAATTCTCCTTCCAGCAGCGTCACTCCACAGAGCACTTAATTGTAAATAATTGGCACGCCTGTTTTTCACGATTATTCTTCTTAATGCTCTTCGGTCGGCATTTGTGATATTACTTTTTTTCACGTATCGTGGCTTAATATTAACTGAACCAGTTACGTTATATCTTTTAACAATATTTCTCACACTGTACCGCGATAAGTCTAACAAAGTTGCAATTTCCGAGTTTGATTTCCCAGAATTAAAAAATTTAATTATCAGTAACCGAATTTCCTCACTAATAACCTTTCCTCTACCCATTTGGAAAACCTTAACTACCCAAAACTATTTTAAACGTATTCTGACAGCTGTGATTAATAAAACCAATTGTCATGGCTTTTATTTTTCACAGCCACCTATCTGTTATAGACTTATTTTGCATTGAAATGAAAATAGGTTGATGTGCTGTAATTGCAACATGTGTTATTTTTATGCTGCACATTTGATTAGGGAATGATAAAGTTGGTGTTTTCTACTATATATTATCAAAATATTCATTGTTAATATTTTACACCTATAGCACCCTGCTACATTTTTATTATTTTTATGTTTGATAAGAAAAAAAACTGAGATTTCAATAGTTGGGCCAACTGATGTGGGAAGGGGCTCGTATATGTAAAATGAAATACCGTAACGTCATCTGTACGAATTTGTTATAACTGCTTACTTTAAAAAGTTTGGCTTCTCATATACACTAACCTTTTCAAAGTATACATAGTAAATAGAGAAACAACTGTGACAGATTTTCATAGACGACGCTACCGTTTTAATTTCGGGTGATCCTTCGAATGTTCAAGCTTAGAATTTTCGTTTGACATTTGAGAAAACTTCATTTGCTGTTTTGTATTCCGAGCAGGTGCAAGTAAAAACCCCATCAAAGCTCTCGCGAAAAGGACAGATATAGCAGACGAGTACACAGAAGTTATTACAGGGGTAGCAGAAAGAGAAAAGAAGAGACTTGCAATTGAGAGATGTAAGTACGTTGATATGAAAAAAAACCTAAATATCAAGTAGTGTGATCCTTTTAGTGAGCAAAGATTCCAACAAGGCAGCAGAGGCTTTAGCTGGGTTAGCTAGTACCGAGGATTTCACGTCAGTGGCTTTGAAAAAGTCGACATCTGCACCTTCTTTTCTAGCTCCATGGAAAAATCTCATGCTACTCCAAGGTATATATTTTATCTTGTACATGTAAAAGCAATACACGCTTTCTTCTATCAACCCTATTATCAACGGAAAAACGTCTCCATTTATCATAGAGCCAGGACAGATAGATAAATATGCTTTATTGTCCGAAGAATACAATCATTCTTAATGACAACGCCGACTTAAAACTAAACAATGACAAACGTACATATTTATTTGATGGTGTCTGTTTTGTGTATCAATTCATTATTATATTATAAAATCAAGGGAGTATTAAAATGTCATAAATATAGTCTTATTCTGTGGTAGGCAGTTGCAAAAGCGGTGATTCCAACCTATATACGAGGCTTCTTCAATAAGTACCCCATGTTTGACGACATAGGGCGTTCCTGAGGGAAGTTGGTATTATCATCGCGTGCTGACATCTATCAAACGACGGCATAACAAATTTCAGACTGATTGATAGGTTAGTTTGGATTTGGAAGTCATTCGCGTAACACTGTTTTTGTGATTTTCGCTAAGATGGAAAAAGAGCAGTATCGTTCGGTAATTCGCTTTTTGCTTTTGGATGTGAAGAAATGCGAGGAGATAAAAGCAAAGTTGGATGTTGTTCATGGGGACACTTCGCCATCTATGACCACAGTTAGATATTGTTCCAAGGAATTTAAACGTGGGCCAACATCCGTGGTTACCGAAGAAATCATTCAAAAAGTCAACGACATGATTCTCGCTGATTAGGAACGAAAGTGCGCGAAGTAGCAGAGGCTGTAGGTGTGTTGACACGAACGGCAATAAATAGTTTACATGATAATTTGGAATTGAAAAAATTGTCGGCCCGATGGGTGCCACAATTGCTCACGGTGGACAACAAGCGGATGCGGCTGTTAACTTCGAAGCAGTGTTAGGAGCAATTTAAGCGAAATCCGAGGGAGTTTTGCATCGAGTTGTCACTGTTGATGAAACCTGAGTTCATCATTACACACTAGAAGCTAAGCGTCAATCAAAACAATGGTTTTCTCCAGGTGAATCTGATCTAAAGAAGGCGAAGACGGTTCTATCGGCCGGAAAGGTCATGGCAACGATTTTTTGGGATGCGAACGGCGTCATCCTTATGGATTTTCTAGAAAAAGGAAGAACGATCACTGGACAATACTGCAGTGAGTTATTGGACCGCGTCGACAAACAAATTGAAGGACACACTGCCACATTTGTCGAAAAAGAAGGTGCTGTTTCAACACTATAACGCATCAGCACACTCATCCGGAGTTGTCGCCGCCAAACTGCATGAATTACGTTGTGAAGTGCTGCTGCGCCCCCCCATATTCACCCGATCTGGCCCCCTGCGACTTTTTCCTGTTCGCTAACATGAAGAAATAACTCGCGGGAAAAAATTTAGCTCAAACGAGACAGAGACGTATTTTAGAGAGTTCGACAAATCCTATTTTTGGAGGGGTTAAAAAATATGGCAGTAACGTTGGGAAAAGTGTATCTTTCTAAAATGGGATAAATTTTGTTGGAAAAATGGCGATTTCGAACACGGGTACTTATTGAACCACCCTCGTACTGCTGATAGAAATGTAAACATATTCAGTCAGATTTGGGTCAGTCTTACAGTGAATCCATTTCATACACTGCTTTTCAAAAAGGACCCCGGTTTATTTTTCGAACGAGTCGAGTTAGCTAGTTGAAATTTGGTTCGATGAAATTATGCATTAAACGAGTTTTAACGTAAAAGTGACAACTGAATATTCCAAAATGGCGGATGGGCGTCATATAGGAGCATTTTTCGAATGAAATAGGGGGTCATGTGGCATCTCATTTCAAAGCACCTTTTATTTACTACAAATTGAAGAAGCTTCCTGATTCATTAACAAAATTACCATGTTCTAGTAAAGGGACGTAGACATGTACAAGTGAGACTTGTAGAGCCAGTAGCAACCAGCGTAAATGAAGGTGACAACTTCATCCTGATAACTCCAAACGCGTTGTATAATTACATAGGCGCCTATACTAACGTCATCGAACAATCGAGAGCTGCTGATGTGGTGAATCATATAAGAATAACGGGCGACATGGGATGCAAGGTTAATAGGGTGATAACCGTCAATGGTAGCGATGGGTTGACCAAGAATAGTATGGAGTTCTGGAAGTTGTTAGGGTGCAAGGATGTCCCACCGGTAAGTGAAAGTTGCTAATAAGTCAAATAAAAATTGATTTAGATATGATTTTTACCGCTTTTTTCCTACAATTAGGTTTGTCATAATATTGAGGTTCAAATAGGTTCACTCTACACTCTTCCTACACAACTCTCCCATCAGCACAAATTAGCCTTTCTGAGACAAAAGTTAGGTACGAACATGCATGACGAAAAAATAAATGGATCAAGTCATTCAATCAGGCACATACAACCAGTCCCCACCTATTTGACAAGTTCAAATCAAAAAATGTCTACCCTATCCTACCGACAGTGCCGACCATCTGGCAACGTTGATATGACTAACCTCGCCGCTCCTCATGCACTCATCTAAAGGCTGCTGCACAATTGCCCGGGAACGGGAACGAGAACGGAAACGGAAACGAGAGAAAAGTTCAATTACATATTATCCAATACATACATGCACAACAAACGGAAACGGCAACGGTAACGGGAACGAAAACGGAAGAGTTGGCCAAGATTCAACTTTCCCGTTCCGTCGCCTTCTCGGAGCCAATCAGAATGCTCAGAATCAGGACATGCGCATTACAGTATTAACCTAAAAACTGAGTTTTGTTTATTTTGGTCTTTGTTTGGAGTAGTAACGCTAACGCTACGATTTCATTATGAATGACGAATTATTGATTCAATTAGTGAAAAAGTGCCCACACATTTACAATAAAACGTTGAAGGAATACAAAGATGATAAAATGAAAGAGAATAATTGGCTATCAATAGCAGAGTTTCTCGATTCGGAAAGTAAGTATGAACATGTGGTGCTTAGCGTCCTTAGCGATACGATTATACATTTTTTGTTTATAATGTGAACAAATGCGAAAAAAAAAAGGTTAGGTACAAAAATTCTGTCATAGTTGTCAACTGCTTCCGATGTGCTCCCGTTAATTGTGCATCTGCCGAAGTCTCTCGTTCCCGTTCTCGTTTCCGTTTCCGTTCTCGTTCCCGTTACCGGGCAATTGTGCAGCGGCCTTAAGACCTTTCAGGCATTGGACAGACTTCAAAGGAGGCGTATCATTGTTAGAAGCGTTGAGTGGGACATGTGTATTTAAAATATTTCTTAGTCATTCTGTTTTAAGAACAAATCGATGGGGAAATGTATGATGTGTGAATGACCGGATTTGTAAGCATATAAGTATATTAATGCTGAATAATGGAGATACACTCTCTCACCCCTCACAAACCCCAACCGTCAAGTTTTAACCCCCACAATTTTTTTCTAAAAAAAAAAAAAGAAGATTTGGAGCCTCTTAAACGTCAAAAAAACAAGTTTATGGATTTTTATTCTTACAAAGCTTTTTTGTCTTTGGCATAGTAGAAACCTTGTGTGAAAATTTCATCAAAATGCGAGTGGCACTTTCCATGTCATAGAAGAATCAAGGATTAGCAGAAAAGACAGATCGACGGAAATGTGTGACATGGTTTTCCATGTTTTACACGCTCAGAAGCAACGTTTCAGATACATTGAATGGTAAATTTTATGATAGACGAAATTATTTCTGCTTCTGCTTCTCTAAAATGGGGTTCTGTCAAGTAATAAGTATGGTTTATGTTTTAATTTCAAACGCAATTTACGAAACTCCTCGAAGTAAACATAACAGACATACAGGGTCTGGCACAAAAGTCGGACGGTGTTTAAAAAATCACAAAATCGGTCATTTGTACTCTAAAACAAATTTATTGACGGATTCGAGTCCACAATGTAATAGCGTTTGTCACAATTAAGCGTGGAAAATCACATCAGTCATGTGGTGACCGTTTTTGACGATGCATTGCTGGGGGCGCTCTTGAAAGTTCGAGTAGACTCTCTCAAACATCGTTTATTTTTATATTATTATGTAGGTTTTTCTACAAGATGTTAACTGAGCACTTAGTTGTACGTGTTGCCTAAACGTCATGAGGCTTGTTATCAATCTTTGGCTCTGATGTGATGTAAAATCTGCTTCTGAGATGGCATTACTGGAGGTCTAAGCTGTAAGTTGTATGTGTTGATCATAATTACATTGGGTTCTTGTCTCAAATACACTTAATTGATATTCAAAGCTAGAAATCAGTTTCGCATCCACTTTTTCTTATCCATTCTGGAAATTACATATGCAAATTTGCTGAATTTAAAAAATGAGAGAGATAAGAGATAATTATATTCACTGCACACTGTCGAATTACAAGCTAACAGTAATTACACACAACGCGGGCGCGGTGATGATTTCCCGTAATTCTTCTCAGTTTTTCGTAATTTATAACTTTGAACATAACCTCTCTTTAGAAAGCACAACATTTAAATAACCCGTCATATTCGGCATATTCAGTAATGATTTTCTCACACAGCAAATATCATTGATTCTATACACATGCAGACCAATACACATTATCATCCAGATGCGATCTTGCTATTCAACCAACTTTCTTCTTAGAGATAAAAACTACAGACACGGATCACTCAGCGTCACAAAACTATGCAACCAATAATGCGTGTAGTTTAGTTGAGCGATTCCTCCATAGATGGAGGAAAGATCCTAGTGAGCAAACGTGGAATGACTGTTTGTGCCCTAAAAACTACATAGTCTGCAAGTTGACATCTAGTAGTAGTAGTAGTAGGTTTTTTTGACGTTTTAAAGGTTTTACAATACTTATATCCTAGGACCGTCTCTTATTACTCAAGTTTCAAGATCCCTTATCGAGAAGCATTGGTGACGAGAGAAAAACTAATGCCAAACTTCAGCGACAATTGTCTAGCGCCCTACATATCCAATAGGTTTGTCTTATCTTGACAGTTTTGTTATTTAAAGTGTATAAATGCTGGTCACCCAGAGGAAGACGAAAACTACGAAACAAACATCCTACGTACGAATATGATATACAAGATGGACGAAGAGGAACTGGTACCGTTAGAAAACTACTGGGGCGTCATACCGAAAGTGGAAATTCTACAGGAACGCAGTATCTTGGTTTTTGATTTTGGTTCGGAAATGTACGTGTGGAGCGGAAAAGGTGCCCCGTTGGATAAGAAAAAAATGGCTGTGAAATTAGCTGAGAAAATCTGGGACGACGGGTATAACTATAGCGAATGCAGCGTGTGTCCATTGAATATAGCGTCGATTTTAGGTAGGTATTAAGATAGTACCTGCGTTGTTATCAGTTCATTACAATGTCTGACATCTTCACGAAGATACCGATCACGTTTTGCAACTTTGATGGCATTAGTAAATCGACAGCGAACTTGCATGCTTGGAAATATTTGGTTACTTTATTGGTGGCGCTACCTACAGGGTCCGCGAGTAAAACCGATACACAAATTTAATATAGCATTTTTTGCAAGGCCATCAAGAGTGAGACATGTAGATCAACCACGTACAATCATTTTTTCCAGGAGAGAGACAGCAAGAAATTCTCCCGTTGTCAGCTGCTAAACGTCCGGATTGGGCCCTATTCGCCCGAATCAGTCAACACCGCGAATCGGTCCTATTTCGAGAAAAATTTCTTGATTGGCCCGACTACACCCGAGTCATCTCGATCAAACCGGACGTACGCAAAACTGTCAATCCGAACTACAACCTCGCCGTCGACAACATCGAGGTTATGTTCGAGGAGGGGGAAAAAGAACCGGATCTTGTGGTCGAAAACACCCATCTTGGTAGAGGGGATAAGTACTACGATAAAGAGACTTTGAGGCATATGGAGTACAAGACGTTGGAGATACAAACGTGGCGTATTTTGGAGAACACGTATGAAGAGTTGAGCAAAGGGTCTATAGGACAGCTGTACGACGGAGATAGTTACATTTATAGTTGGCGCTATAAGCAGAATATTAGAGGTAAGGGAACAGTTGAGTGCCAGACACTTGATTACTTATTTTATAAACTTTGAAATTGCATCCAACACTAACCTTGAACTGACCTTTACCCTGGCCATTGGGAGGCTCCTATATGTGACATTTGTGGTTAAATCGTTTAATTATTTAATATCCATACATGGATAAAAGCCCGGGATTTCGATCAAAATTGTCCTAGGGCGAAAGCCGGCCTCAGGGGCCGCGCTCCTGTGATTTGATATTGATAGTTTCTAGAGGTCCTAAAAATCTCCCATAAAGAGATACAGGTTCTCAGATGACGTGGACTGTGCGTTATACATGACCATATTTCTAGGGTGAAAAGGGGATCCAAAAATTTCATGAAAACTTTACAACAACATGGGTCCTAAAAGCACTGTTACCAATACCGGGGGTTGAAATTATAATCTCAAATTCAGGAAAATATTACTGTAGCTCTGAAGTGTTTAATAGTCCAGGAAATATCTTGGCATCTGCTTGAAAAAGTATTGTGGTTCGCAATGTTTGCATAATCTTATTGAATTAAGAAAGGACCCCTTTTAATGAATCTGCAAGTTTGCTAGGCCCAAAATTGCTTCTAAAATTCTATGAACAATTTTTTTTAGTAAATTAAAAACTGTTTTTTTGTCTCAGACAATCTTTAATTAGATTTTTTGGTTTGTTCTGAACGAAAAAAGGTTCTTTTTGCTATATATGTATAAGCGTTTTAGTATTTGAAATAGTGCAAAGTAAGCCGTTTTCGATTCCGAAAAACAGTATGAAGAAACGAAAATTTAAACTTTTCCAAATTTTCTAAATGTACTTCAGACATCTATTAATGAAATCTTAAGGCATTTTCTGTAGTATTATTGTTGTAAACCTTTGATTTTAAATTGGTGAAGATGCAGTTGGTGGTCACCACTATGCTCAACATACTATGTCTGGGTGATAAAACATTTTTAAGTCTATTTTTATAGTCACTTTTTAAGTTATTTTCTTACATACTTACTGCTCTAGAAACGCTTCCATTGCTTTTTCGATCACCTTTTATTTCAATGAAATTTTAATAGGACGTTTAACCATATTTACAGAAGATTTGTAGACTCCTTATAATAATAGCAAAAACTGTATCTTGGAATGATTGATTCACTAAAAAAAAAAATGTAATTCATTGGAAACATTTTTGTTTCCTGTTTATATAAGTGGCGACTTCCGTTATTTCGAAACATATTTACAAAGCCATCTATACTTCTAAACAAATAACTGTACCTTTATAGGTAGAGAATTGAGCGGTAACCCGTCAAAATGGAATCCAGTAGGAAGAGACCGCCATATATTTTTCTGTTGGCACGGCAGCAATTCTTCCATAAGCGAGAAATGTACAGCTGCATTTTTGACTGTCGAGCTTGACAAGCAAAATGCACCACAAGTCAGAGTTGTTCAGGGTTCAGAACCAGCCGCATTTCTTAGGCTGTTCAGCGGTAATCTAGTCATCTATAGAGGTATAATATTTATTTACATTTTATTCCACAGCAATTTCTCGAAGCCTTGCACTTCTGCGATACCTCGCTAATGTAATATAAGAAACTTATCTTGTGGTTTACATGTCGATAACTTCCCATGATTGTCTGGCCAATAAAATCACATGTGTTGATAGAACGTTTTTTACGGTAAACGTTTCAGTTATAAAGGTGATCTCCTTGACCACAGTGACATTATTTTGTCACAGTAACGAAGATTCTGTCAATACATATGGTTTTACTGGCGGGACAAACATGGGGGGAGTATAAAGTGCTATTTACTAGTGATTTATGTTTCCATATGTTTCTTCAATTTGCTTGTCTCAATCTCCATGTCTCCGGGTGAAGGAAACCATGTTCGAATTCAATGTGTTTTGACGTTCAGGTCCCCACCGTAGTGGCCAAAATGTCACTAGGCTTTTACTTCTACATCCGCGGTTTCATTTGGTGGCAGTAAAACATGGAGACTGATCAGCAAAACAACTGGAGGATACGTTCAGATATTACAAATCTTTCAAAGTTTTTCTGTAGTTTTGAACTACAGTAGATGCAAAAAAGTTATTGAGATATCAACTGTCACAACACCGATGAGCCACATGACTTGTTAAACCAATACATTTTACTTCCTACGCGGCATCGTTTCAGAGGCTCCTGATCATTTTCAGAAAAAAATGTTTGGGGGTTGGGGGATGTAGGGGGTGGGGGAGGGTTTATATCAATTTTTTTGATGTTACTACAGGGTGTCCAGTGGGCAAGTACATCTTTTTAATTTAAGCGAAAAATACAAACTTAATGAAAAGAAAATAATCTATTACTCATACACATATTCGTGAATTCGGCGGGTTTTATTTCTTAAATATCTATCCCCTCCAAATGTTTGCCATCCCTTCGGACATACTCTGCTAATCGCGCGCGCAAATTCTGAAACCCTCCCTTGCAGAGTTCCGGAGTGATGTTGTTTGTTACTCGTCGAATGTTGTCTTGAAGCTCCTCCAGTGGTCGTGGATTATTGACATACACTTTTGACTTTAGATAACCACACAAGAATAATCGCATGGCGTGAGGTCGGGTTACCTAGGAGGACAGTGAATGTCTCCAAACTTCGATATCACTTTTTGAGGAAAAAGTGTCTCACTGTGTCCATCGATTCTCTGAAAGTATGGGTAGTGGCCCCATCGTGTTGAAACCATGTGTTTCTGTGAAATCGACGTTCTGTTCTTACAATAGGAGCAAAAAAGTGTCAATGTGTGTCCTTGTATCGCTCGGAATTGACTGTCAATGCATGACCGTTTTCATCTTCGAAGAAATTCGGCCCAATAATACCGCTAGAGGATATGGCGCACCAAACGGTTACCCTTGGACTATGTAGCTGTTGTTGATGTTTCTGTTTTGGGTTCTTTGGTGCCCAATTTCTGCAATTTTGCTTGCTCACATAACCGTCTAAGTGAGAATGGGCCCCGTCACTGAAAACAACGCTCAAGAGTCTGCGCTGCGTAGGAAAAAGATTCAACATCCGTTCATCACAAGATTTTCGTAATCATTTTCCTTTAAAGCATGGACTGATTGGATTCTATAAGAATGAAAACCCATTTTTTTCTTCATTATGCCATGCAGTGTTGACCTAGGGATTCTCAAAATAGCGGAATGCTCCGTATAGAAAACCGAGGATTTGCAATGACCGAATCATTTACACGACGCACATTTTCGTCAGTTGATACAGCAGGTGTGGGGCCAGGAATTGCTTTACTAAGAGTAGAGCCCGTTTCACAGAACCTTTTGATCCACTTTTTCAATAGGTTCTTACTTGGTCGACGAATGTTGTATCGTGTACAAAGTTTGCGAAGGGCAGCTGCGCCTATCAATCACCACTCTTAAAGTAAGTCTCGATAGCAAAAGCACGTCGCGGTCCGGTCCAACGTTTCATTGTGACTATTTAACCCGCACGCCGACCTCGTCGATCAAGACCCTCCCGACTTCCTCGCGTGTAAGGTTGCCGCGTAATTCAAATTTGAAATGTGAACTTTCCCACTGGACACTCTGTATATTTATACGCTTCCAAGTCAGTTAATTCTAGGCACCTATTAGTCATAGAGTTTCGCGTACATCTGCTTTTAAAACTTGCAATATGCTGCTTCTGCTCTCTGGGTTCACCGACGGGCGTCACGATCTCGATGAATGTCCTGCCGTTACTGTCGCGGTGCGGGGCTGCTGAGACAAGCATCGTGCGGTGAGAATTAGGCCGGAGGCGACGTTGCCGGCAACTACCGGTAGGGCAGGGAAATAATGTCCATGGAACATAATCCGTCATGAACTGATGACAGCTTTGCGTAGGAAGTGCAGAGTCAACCTACTTGACGCCATTTTTTTGTGCAAAAACTAACAATAAATGAGTTGTGTCATTTTTGTTGGGCGAGTAACAGAAGTACACTTTTTTCTAGGTAAGAGAAGTGATAGAATAAAGAAAGACAAAGTCCGATTATTCATAGTGAGAGGTGAGGTCGAAAATGAAACGTACCTAATGGAAGTACCTGTAAGTACGTCATCGCTAAGGAGTCGGACATCGTTTGTGATAGTCGATAATGTTAGTAATAGAATTATAATTTGGAACGGAGCGAAATCTACGGAGTACAAGAGGAAAATTACCAGGGATATTGTGTGCCGGTTGTTGGATAATAAGCCTGAAGACATGTACTTAGATGACTCTGATGACCTGAAGGTATTTAAAATTTGCAGTGCTATTGCATTATTGCCGTATTATTTTTCTTGGAGTGAAGAGCTACGCATAACCTAGTTCGTGAAGTTACACTATATTTTCCACCCTCCTAGTTTAATATTTCAAAAGAAATAGTGCACCAAACATTTGAGAAACTCGTCCGATATAATAACGCTTTTCACAAAAGAAGACCTGTAATGTGTATTTTTTTTGATTTTCGTAGGTATTGGAAGTCGACGAGGGTTATGAGAGTAACGAATTTTTCGAAATATTGGGTGGTGACAGCACTTTGTATCATTCGCTGGTCGATTCTTTGGAAGATTACAATTACACTGTGAGAATGTTCAAACTAAGCAGTGTGACCGGGTCTTTTCTTGCCAACGAAATATTGTGCCCTCATAGAAGTGATCACTGTACACCATACCCATTTGTGCAGTCGGAATTATATTCTGCCAATCAACCAGGTAATTTTTTAACAACGTATCTTAAAGAAAATGAAGGAATTGTTGAATATACAGGATACTAGTTTCAATTTGATTCTGCTAGAACATATATTTTTCTGTCTAAATACGTTTGAGTTGACATTGACACCATCGTATTTGACATTTAGATGGAATTCTACGTTTCTTTCCTCATTGTTAGGCCATTGAATTATATTCCAGATATACTGCTTAAGGACTTGATTTAACGCCTTATTTATTTATTCATACATTCACGGGGCAAGCCCAATTTTACAATTTTATTCAATTTAAATTAATAAGGTAAGTAAATTTACTAAACATAAAAAATATAAGCTTAAATTTATTGTCCACATAAATAAAAACACAGTCAAGGTATTTAGAATGAAGTACAATGCAATCAGAAATAACATATATAAAAGGTTAGGTAACATTTCTTATGGTTCGGGAATCGTGGAATATATGAAAAATATCTCCCCGAAATTTGTTTGAATTTTTCGACCTATTATTTAGAGTGTGGACCGTATAGGGTGTGATGTTGAGCAAGTTTGAATGACTTCTGCCCTTTTAGGGTCCTAGGAGGAACATGATAATCTATCATGCCCAAGATAGTCTAAACATATTTTAGCAAATTTCCCCGAAATAATTGTAAAGTCTGGTTTTATTGGTATAAGTTATTCAAGGGGGTATTTAAAACATGGACGCATAAAATGGGCATACCAATATTTGTGGGAAAACTTTTTATTTGACAACGAAGAATGAGAAAACGTGTTTTTTAGGATTCAATCGAAAGTGTTGACACGAACGAAAAAACTTTTCATATAGGATTTTTAGGTATTCATGAGACCTACATAATGAGACCACACGTAAAAAGATCTGACTAATAGCAAAAATGCTATGACCGAAAAACGAGGCAAAATGCAGGTTTTGGCACTTGTTGGTAATACGACGAAAATGTCACGTTTAAAATTCTTCAGATCCGTAGGATTCATACTTCTAAATAACAACAACAAATTTGAAGTATAATATATTGGTCAAGAAGTTTTTTGAGAATTTCTAATTATTTATCCCAAAACACCCGTTTTCCGGCCATCACTATTAGCTTAGTGAGCAATAAGCAGGGTTCGTTCAAAGAGCATTTAATAGCAAAATACACGCCGATATGATTCACAATCCATTCCAAAAGATAAATGTTATTTTTATGCGAAAAACAAAGGTTACGTTTCTTTCTTCTAAACAAGGTCAAACATTTCGTATTTGTGAGTAATTGAACAAATAATATATATATTATATAGGGTTGTCCAATAGGGACGCAGGAAAGTAAACGTCAAGGTGACATAGACGCCATCTTTGTTTTCTGTCACCCACATGTGATTTTGTTAGTTGAATGTTTACCATTGATCGCTATGGAGTCGTATTCGATTGAAGACCGCATTAAAGTTATTCAAGAGCACTACAAAAATGGTGCAAAAATAAAAAACACGTTTCGCGGCTTCGTGAACATTTCGGTCGCAACAACCGCCCAAACGAAACAACCATCGGTCGTCTGGTGCGTAAATTCGAGGCAACAGGTTCTGTGGCAAATCTGCCAGGCTCTGGCCGGTCAAGGAGCGTTCGCACATCGGAAAATATTGCGGTTGTGAAGGAGAGTGTGAGAGACGATCCGAAACAATCAACAACGCGTCGATCTCAAGGATTTGATTGTACACGCCTACAAGATCCAATTGACGCAAGAGCTGCGTCGGGCCGACCATTTTTCGCGCCGAACGTTCTCAGATTGGCTCCTTGAACACCGCCAAATTGATGCCAATTTTTCATCAAAAATCATGTTCAGCGACGAAGCGCATTTCTCTTTGAATGGGACTGTAAACAACCAAAGCTGCCGCATCTGGGCAAACGAAAATCCCCGTGTGTATCAAGAGCAGCCGATGCATCCTCAAAAAGTGACTGTGGTGTGCATTGTGGTCAAAAGGCATCATCGGACCTTACTTTTTCGAAAATGCGACCGGGGACGCCGTTACCGTCAATTCTGAGCGATATCACGTGATGATAGAGGACTATTTTTTGCCGCAACTTGAAGGAATGGATATGGACGATGTTTATTTCCAACAAGACGGTGCAACATGCCACACAACCAACGTCAATATCCATCGATTGCAGTCCATCTTCGGTGATCGCGTGATTTCGCGCAGAGGAAATGTGCCATGGCCACCAAGATCGTGCGATTTGACTCCCTTGGACTTCTTTTTATGGGGATATTTGAAAAGCAAAGTCTACGTCATCAAACCAGTCACCTTCCAAGAACTCAAAAACAACATCATTGCCGAGATAAATGCCATAGAACCGACCATGTTGCAAAATGTCATTGAAAATTTCGACCATCGCGTGGACGTCTGTAAATCCAGTCGTGGTGAACATTTGAGCGATATTATTTTTCATACATAAATGGTATAAATGAACCTTCAAATAAAGTACCCAACTTGATTTGAATATCAATCTTTCTTGTTTTAATATGCGTTTACTTTCCTGCGTCCGTTTTGGACAACCCCATATATTAGTTTTAAGATAAAGCGGATGTGTTTATCATCTTTTGTTGCGAATTACTCCCAAATACGAAATGTTTAAAATTGTTTAGAAGAAAAAACGTAATCCATCCTTTTTTTCATATAAATAACATTTATCTTTATCCGGAATGGTTTGAAATTCATATCGGCAAGGTAGTGTGTTTAGCCATAAAATTCCCTTTGAACTAACCCTGTATATTGTTCAATAAACTAGTAGTGATGGCTTGAAAACAGGTGTTTTGGGATAAACAATTAAGAATTTTCAAAAACTACTTGACCAATCTACTCCAATTTTGTTGTGGTTATTTGGAAGTACGAATTTTACGAATTTGAAGATTTTAAGTATCTGCGAGAAACCCTCGTTGCATTACCACCAAGTGCCAAAACCTGCATTTAGCCTCGGTTGTCGGACTTTTTTGCTATTAGTGGTCTCATTTTGTATGTCTCATAAATACATAAAAATCTTATATGAAGAGTTTTTCCGTTCCTGCCAAAATTCCAAAAAACACATTTTCTTAATCTTTGTTGTCAAATAAAAAGTTTGCCCACAAAAATTGGTGTACCCATTTTATGCGTCCATACTTTTAATACCCCCTTGAATAACTTGCAGCAATAAAACCACACTTTACAATTATTTCGCAAACCGGGGGCATTTTCATCTAATATGATTAGACTAAGTGTTCGGGAGTATTTATTAGTCCGGTAATCATTTTGTGACACAAAATTTTCTATACGCTTGACCAGACTGTTGAGCTTTATGTCAGATTCCATATCCCTATAGTTTATGCGGTCCTTGGGGATGTTTATTTTAAAAGCTATATATTTAATAAATTTTCTCTGAATAGGATTCAATTTGTATGTATGTAGATTATACAACTAATCGTTATATCAAATCTATCTGCTACATCATAAAACGATGTTTAATGTCCTGCAAACCACAAAAAGATGAGTTTTTGTTGCCTATTTGAAGAACATGGTATGTTCATATTCATATCCTCGGCTTCTTTGCTGGTTAGTCACTTTGAAATATCGTCAGCCCAAAATTTCGCAGAGTATACCTATCTATTAGTCTGTCTTCGCAGAGATATGGTGGTTCAACTCGCGTTTTTTCTCATTCCAGCCCTATTTTTAATCGACAACCACCACGAGCTGTGGCTATGGCAAGGCTGGTGGCCAGAGAAAGATCCAGAACTGGACGAAGATGAGGAAGACGTGAGCGACCAAACGGGCTCGGGGGCTATTCGGTGGCAGGCGGAACGCAGGGCGGCGATGCAGGTGGCGCAGAAGTACTGGGCGAAACGGTACGACCCAAGTAAGTTCGTCGCCCATGCGGTCTGGGCCGGATTGGAACCGGTGCAGTTCAAGAATCTGTTTCCCTGTTGGGAGGACAGGGAGGACGTTATGGAGATGAACATGAAGGTAAGGAAGTGGAGTTTGGTGATGGGGCATTAAGAAGCGGTACGACCAGAGAAGGAAGCTGTACATTTATAAAGAATGCAGTGTGAGTCGGATTGGAACCAGTGCATCTTCTTGAATACATCTATGTGAATCTTGACAGTGGTCGATATGTGATATCATTGTTGTTTAATTTATCAAAGGCATTTGACTCAGTAGATAAACAACTCTTGAAATGGAAGCTATACACATCAGTATTAGAGGTTTTCTTTTGGACTGGTTGTTGTCATGTATGATTGATAGATCTATGAGAGTGGAGGTCGAAGATGTGCTTTCTGAAAGTCATGGACTTCAACTCGGCGTTCCGCAAGGGTCAATTTTATTGGAAGGGTGGGTCGGATATTTTAGAGATTAATGTGAAAGAAAGGAGTAGGGTTTGGTACTGACACAATCTGTTTCATTGTCGACAGGAACGGGAGGATGTGATGGAGAAAAATATGAAAATGAGGAGTAACGATTGGTACTAGTATTGAGTTAAACGGTACGAGCCAGGGAAGTTCAAGTGCAAACTCCTATCCTATGGCATTCTAGAGAACCTTTACTGTTGGGTTCCTCTGTGGTCTCAAGGTATTTCATCCCACAAATGTCAACGTGGGTGTTATCTCAGGGACCGGTCTTGACGTTAGCATTGTTTCCATTACACGTCAACGATCTCCTCCCTTGCATGATCTCCGATCCACAGCTTTGTTACTGCCAGCACTCTACACGCAGGCACCCAGAATGGCAAACAGATCTCTGCTGATGAGCTGGAGGGGAGACTAGTAACGACTTCCTGTTTGGCGAGAGGTCTGGACGTTATCTCTGCTTGAGGACGCGACAATCTGGTACAGTTTAATGTTTACAAAACATAGTACTGTGCCTTGACTAACAAGAAGTGTGCTAACATTCATCCGGTTTCGATGGATGGTCAAGTTCTTTCAAAGAGCCATTCGTTTGGCTGGTCGGAGTCCAGATCACATAGAGCTTGCCTTGGCATGAACACATCTGGTCAATCGCGACAGCTGGCAATAAAAATAGGGTTAAGAGATAACGTTCAATCTCCTCATTTTGTACAAGGCCCAGATGAGGCCCAGCCTAGAGTACTACTCACATGTTTTTGGTGCTGCCGCCTCGACTACATTATCTATACTCGATGCTTTTTAGAGGTCGGATGTTCGACAGATTAAATACGGGCAGTTTCGGGACGTTTTTGCAATGGCGTTTCTCGGTGATCTGGCCATTTTCTCCGGGGATGCCAACGGACTGTTCCTAAGAGCTCTTCTCCATGATGCTGCCGCGGGCTGAGCCTGTCAGACGGACCCGCCAGTTTTCTGTCTTCCATCCTAATTCTGTCGAAGTTCGTACATCCAGAACTGGCCAGTACGACTGCTCCTATGTTTCTAGGGTATCCAGATTTTGGAAAATGTACTTGTTCTGCTAACCTTAGGCGGTTCAAAAATCGGATCAACAAGGTGTTTTTAAGCCCCTCGACAACAGTCGTGTTTTCTCGGTAACCAGGTTTCTGCATAACCAGCTGCATCAGTGTGACAAAAAGTTCGTAGGCGGAAACAAGTGCGGGAGATACCTCTGTTTTTTCCTATTCTCTTATTGTCGAACCAAACGCAATATTTTTTTTCAGGATGGTAGAAAACTGGGGGAGATGATCCCTTTAGAAGACGAACTAGCGCTGTTAACAAGAACAACATACCCGCTGGCAGAGCTACTTCAAAGACCTTTGCCCGAAGGAGTAGATCCAACACAGATTGAAAATTATCTTTCTCTTGAAGATTTCCAAGAACTGTTGTCTATATCCAAGGACGAATTTCAGAAATTGCCTGCTTGGAAAAAGACCGCATTGAAAAAGGATAAAGGATTGTTTTAAATAATAAAGGATTACCCTGTGTGAGATTGAATCTTATAAATTTTCATACCATATGGCTTTTGCTTAAGATCACCACGTTACGCCATTCTTGGCGATACATATAGGGTTTTCCATTAAGGACTTGGCAACTTTCTTCTTAAATAAAACGCAAACCATTTGAGATATCTCGAAAATTTTATTATTTGATTGAAGTGTACTCAAAACATTTATGTATGGAATTCGACCTCGTTCATATGACCACCACAGGCACGTCAGCAGCGATCGATTCGTTCAATCCAATTTTCAATGACTCGGCCACACATTTCGACGGAAGCGGCCGCTATCTCCTGTTCAGTATTGGCTCTGAGCTCCTCTAACGACGCCGGCTTGTTGGCATAAACCAATGATTTAATTAAGACACACAAAAAAAGTCTAGAGGTGTTAAATCATACGATCTAGGCGGCCATTCGACAGGATCATTTCTCGGACACGTTCACCGAATTTTGATTTCAATGTCGATTGTTTCACCCGCTGTGTGGCTTGTGGCACCGTCTTGTTGAAACCACGTATCATTAATGTCTAGCCCATCCAATTGAGCAAAAAATAGCGTTGCAACATGTCTTTGTACCGATCCCCGTTGACAATACATCAATGAAGAAAAAACGGTCCAATGACACCACACCATACAGTTTTTTTTGTGGATGAAGTAGTGTTTTTTGAAGCACATGAGGGTTTTCACCTGACCAATAACGCATATTATGTTTGTTGACGACGCCAAAAATGCGCCTCATCGCTGAAGATGATTGCGATGAAATTGGTCATTTTCTTGCAACATTTCTAGAGCCCAATTCGAGAACGTACGTCGCTTCATATGATCGAACGGCTTTAGTTCTTGAGTTAACTTGATCTTATAAGGGTGCAGGCTAGGATCTCTTCGCAAGTTCGCCATAGTGTGGTCTGAGCGATGCCCAATTCTTGAGAAGGCCGTGGAAGCATGTTCTGATCGTTTCCGACGAAAGTTTGAATGGCAGAAATATTCTCGGCACGTCGACCAACTTGTCTCACTGGCACGGGAACCTCCAGCAGTGAATATGTGGACTCAAATTTCTTTACTAGACCTTGAACTGCTTGACTACGGGTACGAGAATTACGACCAAAAACTGGCGTTAACGCTCTTAAGGTTGCAGTCACCGACTCGGAATTTCGGTAGTAAATTTTAATTATTTTTAAGCGTTTTTCGTTCGTGTACTTCACCATGATGAAAATGTTTTCTTTACTGAATGTTTTGACATTGACAGTTCGGTAATTGATTTAAAGGTGCGTTCGCGGTGAAAGTTCAAAGTTGTCAACTCCCTATTGGAAAACCCGATAATAGTGTGTGCGTATGAATAATCAACAAATTGTATGAAAAATATCAAATGTTGGAGTTTTGAAATCCAGCCAAGGAATATGTAGCATTAAAACAATTATTTGATAAAGCCATTATAGCTGGATTTGAACTCAGAACCAATTAGATTCTCTAAAATTGTCAGTATCGCTTAGTTGGCATTTCATTCACTGCCTCTTAATTTTGAGGAAGAGTGCCTATTTTTTACACCTATTTAGAATGCCTTATACATGAGGAGAATAGAACATCACTTGAGTAAGTATATTCCATAATGGCGTATATTGAAGAATGTATGTGATCTAATGACTAGTTGAGTTATAAAAGCGACTATTGTGCAGTTAGTCTAATCATATTAGACGAAAATACACCTGGTTTGCGAAATAATTGTAAAGACTGGTTTTATTGCTACAAGTTTTTCAAGGGGGTATTCAAAACATGGTCGCATAAAATGGGTATATCAGTTTTTGTGGGAAAACTTTTTATTCGACAACAAAGAATCAGAGAACGTGTTTTTTGGGATTCAATTGTTGACAGGAACGAAAAAACTCTTCATATAAGATTTTTAGGTATTTATGAGACTTACAAAATGAGACCACACGTAAAAAGATCCGACTAATAGCAAAAAAGCTATGTCCGAAAATCGAGGCAAATTGCAGGTTTTGGCTCTTGGTGGTAATTCAACGACGGTTTCTAGCAGATATTTGAAATTCTTCAAATTCGTAAGATTCGTACTTCCAAATAACCACAACAAAATTGCAGTAGATTGGTCAAGTAGGTTTTTAGAATGTTTAATTGTTTATCCCAAAACACCTGTTTTCCAGCCATCACTACTAGTTTATTGAGCAATATTCAGAGCTAGTTCAAAGAGCATTTTATGGCTGAATACACTAGTTTACCTTGCCGATATGAATTGCAAACCATTCCGGAAGATAAATGTTATTTTTATGAAGAAAAGGATGGATTACGTTTTTTCTTCTAAACAAATTCAAACATTTCGTATTTGTGGGTAATTCGCAACAAAAGATGATAGATACTTCCGCTTTGTTTTAAAATGTGTATAGTAATGCATGTTTTTCGAATATCGTAGCGCATTTGTTCAATTACCCAAAAATACGAAATGTTTCAATTTGTTTATAAAGAAAACAACGTAACCTTTGCTTTTCGCATAAAAATAACATTTTTCGGAATGGTTTATGATTCATATCGGTAAGGTAAGCACATGTATTCTGCTATCAAATGCTCTTTGAACGAGACTTGCACCAGACTTTACAATTATTTCGGGGAAAGTTGCTAATATGATTAGACTAAGTGTCTTTCTATAAAATATAATTATTGCTTTGAGCTCAGTTATATTAATTTTAATCACATATTTTAGAACAATACCAATTTTGAACGATTTTGATATTTATGGAATTTCATTAATATGTAAGCTCAACGGTGCATCTTGCCAGTTATATAATTTATTAGATTTTATTTTATTGTTTTTATTTATTATGTAGTTGAATTGCAGATTTGAAGGTTTTGGGTTTTATTATTTTGTTATTTTGTTTTAACATAAAAAGTATCAGTAGCTGCCATTTATTGATTTTTATCTGGGAAAGGATGATACGCTAAAAATCCCAATACGTATTACCATAGCCAATACCCGGAAAAATAATTGTAGCCTGAACGATGAAATTTTACCCAGTAGAATCAAAATAAATAATCAACATTCATTTGGAATGGTAATTTAGGAGTAAGGATGTGGGTCAAAACTAAAAGTGCATGTCGGGTCATATCTCACATCGGGCAAATGTTTTTTCCAGGAGAGTACCTATGCAGGCATGATGCTTTGTGAAATTTCAGGGTCCTAAGTCAGTCGGTTTGGTTTGGAGACTTTGTTTGTTTCAGATTTATTTAGCATTAATGCTACAATGTCCAGAATATCCACATTACACAGTATATCACAAAATATATTATGTCTTCAAGACTACATATTTTTATACAAAATTTCACTACTATGAATTCTGGTTTTCCATGAGATATTTTTTCAATTTCCCTTTGAACATTTTCAAACTGACACACATGATATCATTACTTAATTTATTAAATTCGTACAATCCCTTTTGGAATTGTACACAGTTTTTTTAGAATAACCGAAATTCTATAAAAGTAATTTATTTTCTTTGATATTTTTGAATTAATATATTCATAGTGCCCTTTAAATTTTAATTTACTGTCTACGTATGTATATGCCCAAATATTTAAATGAATCGATTGACACAATTTTTTCATGATTAATTGTAAGATTTATAATATTGTGATCTAAAGATTTTCCTATTAGCATACATTTTGTTTTGTTTGTGTTTCGTTTAAGTTTATTTACATTTAACCAATTTATTACGTTTTTTGTCCAAAGTTTGGCTGTCATTTTTTGATTTTTAGCTATTTCAAGGAAAATATAATTCAGAAAATTTGCATAATTAACCTAAAATCAGAAGAGGGCCGCCAATTTTGTAAGCTGGGTGTGGAAGGTATTTATATTACGCAACTTTTCTACATGGTGACTCTAAGCGTTTTTAAGATCGTAATATTTATCTTGGACACACTGTATTTTGAACTATTAGTTTTTTTGCAAATATATCTTAAAAGCAACGTTAGCCAATGGGAGTCAAGTAATGTGTTGATGTTTTTTTAATCCCTATAATTAGATTAATTGTAAATATTGATGACAATGGTAAATTTTCGGCGAAAATACCGAAAATTGATTCTAAAAGTCTACTTTAAATTTGAAGGCCCAAGGACAAAATTTAACTCACATACACGGATCCTTTTTCTTTACGAATTTTCGGATTTTTTTGCTGAAGGCTTCCAAATTTCAGCCCTAGGAAAAAATGTCTTTTGACTGAAATATCTACTGAACTAATTTTCAGGTTGAAATTTGACGGTAATTTTTGAAATCTTTGAACACTTTTACTTCGGAATAGTTACAAATTTAGCGGCCAACGACAGGAGTAGTCAGAAAATCGAAGTGTTACCAAATAGGCTAAGTTTCGCATTTTATCAGAACCTTGATATCTTGAACGCGTTTCCAGAGCAAACCGTTCGAGCTAGGAATTCCTTAGGTACCCGCCAGAAAAAAATGAGCCCTATCTGAGATATCATCCTCCAACCCAAGTTTACTCTTGACCCATATAGACAATTCTGTCAGAGAATTTTTGCATCATGCTTAGTAAGTCCCTGTATAGACAATCATTACTGGAACCTGTATAAAACATTCCATAGATTTATTCTAATCGAAACGTAATAGTCTGATCTCACATTTACACTATAATTATACCATATCTTTAACAAGTTCAATTAATCCATTAATTTGAGAAATTTTATAAGCGATTATATCAGTTATTGATAAGTGAGGTGTGTTGTCGGTAGAATATGTATTGCTTGAGAACATCTCAAGCACTGAGACAATACATTTAAGTGTTGCATCATATATCTAGAAGTAAATATGTTATTACATTTGATTAAATAATTTAGAAAAACATTCTTTTCAATTAACTTCAAACTATACATGGGCGCCATCAGGACGTTGCCAGAAGAGGCCGTGGCACCTTTGAGTTTCCAGTTGGACCTTAAAATTTGCCTATTGATTTGATTTTGTGTGCAATTTTCGGAATTTTTAGGATTGGCCCTACCCATTCCCCCTGAAAAAATTTGCTAGGCTCCTTTATTTCAAACAGTTTTGGGCACAAAAAGTTATCTCTCGCCGTTGATCGCCCCTCCTCCTGAGAAAAACTCCTGGGGGCGCCCATGCCCATGCATTTTGTTGGAATTAGACGGACGATTCATCAAACAATTCTAGAAAATACGTTTTACCTTGTTCTAGGGTTTTTAAAATTACGCAGTCCCGTAAAATAAAAAGTGTTATGTACTGGGGGTCACATTTTTTTTTCCCGTGTAGTTTTTCTCTCAAACACGAATCAAAATTGGGGGTCGATGCACAAATATGATCGTAATTTTGACATCAGAATTACATATTTTGGAATTTTTGATGGATGTGCACCTTTTCAGAGATCTCTGAATACTAAAATCTGTGACCTAATGCCTAAATGACTTTCATATTTCATATTCAGCGGAAAAATAGATGAGAAAACTATAGTGGGACCCCCAGCACATCACTTTTTTTATTGTATGGGACTGTGTTATTGAAGTCATCATTTTATTTGGATTTGGTACAGTTTGTCCAAACTTTTCTAAATACTATCGAAAAGACAGCATAAACATAATGATCATTAATGGACACATAAAACCAGATTTGTCAGTGATTTATTTTTACAATTCTATAAGTATTCGTTTTGTGCCAGAACAACTTTTGTAGATCTCAATTTCTTATGAAAGCGATGATTTTTAGATAAATGTACGCCCCATTTTTTAAAACAGTACAATAGATTCAATTTAAAGAAAATAGCCGATAAAAGCAAATACTTGATAGTAACTGCATCTTACTTATATTATGAAATTTAATAAATTAAGTAGCAAGTATCGCAAGCATAGGAAATATTTGTATATAACGTATGTTTTATACTTTTATTATTTATACACTTAGAATGTAATGTACGGTTTTTATAATAAATTGTGAAAAATACGGTGAAATTATTTTTTCATATATTTCTACCCAAACAAAATTATTAATAACTGAAATAGATTGCTTACGTACATTTTCCAAAAATGATGCAATTTATTCGCGTTTAATTTTCCATGTTATATGGACCTTGAATGGAACCATATATAAAGGCTTGAGTATTCGGCTATCTCGGTTGCTTTTTTTTCAAAGTAAAACTCACTCGATTTGGGTTTGTCGCTATTCGCGTTTTTTCGGACGCGTTTTAGAGGAAGACGTATTTGAAAGAAAATGCATTTATAAATCCACTGTATTTCCCGTCGAAGACATCGGGCAAGGGGATTTTATTTTTATTCTGGTTACCATACGTGATTCTACATTCCATGTCAAACCATTAACATGACGAAATAAATAATACTAAGGACAAGATCCGCTAAAACGTATTACGGCACGCTAGGCTTTGGAGCGAAATTCTACGTTTGAACTTTGGAAAGCAATGTTTTCCACGTCCCGTTCATAGTAAAAAGTGTGGGAACTCACTTTTTGAAATGAACATTTTGGAGAGTTCACTTTTTACGAGCTTTTATTTAATTTGACCTGTTTGTTACTATGCGTAAATAGTATGTTTGTGTGGAACCTTGAAACTGAATTTTGAACCAGTTAATATTAACAAATGTGCTGCAATTTTGTACAACGCGTGATAATATACAATGAATAAACTGCCCCCATTTTTAATCCAATGTGGCGAACGCTGGTGTTTTAAATTTTTAATACAAATAATATGTAAGACGTTTTATCTGATTGGAAAATTTAAGCCACAGTCAAGCTCCTTTTCGTCTCATGTTTTAACAGCAAGATGGAAAGAATGAAAACTTGAGATGAAGGAGCTTGATTATCGGTTAAATATTTTCAATTAGAAAAAATGTTTTTTTTTATTTTCAGTTAAATAAAATTTTATTTTCAAAAGTATATTTTTTCTTTATTTATCTTACTTTCTCTAGCAAAGTGTTTGTACTGTGATATCTCTTCACAGGGCACATAATTGCTTTCACATCTAGCAACCCGGATCCCTTTTGCTTCCCACGTATAAGCAAAAGGGAGCATTATGTGAAAGAGTGGCTTTAAACATCTTGCCTTCCCCAATCGCAATTTTTTGATGTTAACATACTTCCAACCTCGGTATTTCTACCCACCTATTAGACATATTTCACACATCATTGATTTCCCCGTACATTTGTCCTTAGAGAAATAATTACAAATCCGAATCGTGTCTTGGTCGCTCCTCTCCACCTTCGTGCAACAAACCCTATCTGCTTATGATTGCATCGCTGGCCCTATCTATCTCGAGTTACAGCAGCGTGGCTAGATTCGTCGCGAGAAAAGACAGGTAGCAGGTGCGATATCTATATATGTTCAGAGAGATTCATATACTGCTCACGTCGTAATGTGTACGAGAGAGAAGCGCGAGGAATTTTTTTTACGAAAAGCCCAATTAGTACACTAACGGTTTTCACAAAACCTACGTCTATTTGATGATTATTGCTTTACAGAGAAAATTGTATTAGAAGTTGTTTCGAAGGTGTCGGAAGTATAGAATTAATCTACTTGATGCCACTTTTGCAAATGTGCTGAACACAGCAACAAATATCATAATATAAGCTTACATATAACTAAAGTTACCAGAGAGAATTAACTTAAACATTATAATCAACAGAAGGGCTGAAACTATTAAATACTAAGGCGAGAACCAGTCAAAGTAATTCAGAACTAAATTAGTTGAAGATAAATGAAATTAGTGTCTCCAGCTCTCTCTGTAAAGAACTGTAGCCTCAGTATTCAAAATACCATCTGATCAATCATGTACGGAACTCTTGGAGTCGTCACTTTTATATATTTTCAGCAACATACTAGTTTTGAATTCTCTTGGCTGATGCTCGGCACTCTAAGACTGATTAAGGGAGAAATTATGAAACAAGTCGCACACTTTACCCTCGAGTCGTGGCTACAATCTCAAAGTAAAAGTATGGACAAATATAAATGCCTGAGATGGCAGAGATGAGCTACGACTTACAATTTGGACACACTGACAAATAACAAGTACTGCCGGCATCTCCTCGTGAATCTCTTATACAGGGAGGCCGATATATGTAACTGACTCGTTTGAATCTTGAATTTTTGTGAAATTCATTTCATAAAATACGACTATTTTGTTCATCTTAATCTTTTATTGAAACTCAGAAATTATGTATGAAAAATAATGTCAGACAGATGTTCGCGTCTAGAAGCCGCGCAAACTTGAGCCCTCTTTTCCATCACTTTTTGGTAGGTTTTGGGAGGAATATTTTCAACCGCTTCCGTAATGTTTTTATTCAGCCGCTCTACTACAGTATTTGGCATAAAACCTGTTTCAAAAACCCCCATAAAAAAGTCAGGAGCCGTCAGTTATATATTGGCCACCCTGTATATTTTGATACCCCTGCGTTTTGAAACTCGATACGTGTGAAACAGATCAAAAGCGCGAGATCCTGTAAGTATATTAAGAATACCTATTAATTTAGTATTTATGGAAGCGTTTTCTGGAGGTATGCGTTATCTTTTGCCCAAAGGTCTGGTAAA